TTGAGGCCGGTTTAGGCTTTCATGTTTCCGGGCTCAGAGATTGGGGTTTAGGGTTTAAGATGGTTTAGGCTTGGCTTCAGGGCTTTCATAGTCTAGGGGCTGAAGAATCGAGGACGTCTAGAGTTGCTGCTTTCCAGTTCAGGGGTTCAGGATTCTCAACCCTTTGGGGTTTGGGGCAAGGCTCAACGATTTTCAGGCTTTTTGGGGTTTGGGCCTTCAGGTTGTCCGAAATGATGTCTCTCTTCGTCATGACAGAGAGATGTTGGCGCAGGTACTTCAGCAGCAACAAACTTGGCTGCGCAGTTCTTCTGGAAGCTGCAACACTAGGAGGGGGCCCTGGGGTCCAGCGCATCTTTGGCTGCAGGACCACACCGGCAAACCAACCGGGGCAATACTGGCCGTCACCTGACATGCCCAATTCGTTTGACAGCATTCTCATTGCGCCAACATTCCACCAAACCCTAAACCCTTCCAATTCCCTGGGGCGACCTTGCTTCTGGATGACCAGGGTTTCCAACCGGGTGCAGGGTTGACACACTCGAGTTCGTAAAAGGCCAGTTTCCCTAAGTCATAAACTCTCATTGAACCTTGTGTTGTATTGTGTTTAAACCGGTAAACCGGTGAACCCTAAAGAATAACGCTAGTACCATTGTATCTAGGCCCCAAAAAATCATGTCCTCTGCAGCCCTGGCACATCTCGTCCGGCCAGCAGCTGATCGAGTGTGCATCCTGACTGACAGCAAGTTCAGAGCCAGCTTCGGGGTTAGGAGAACATTTGGAGGGATTCCTGAAGGTTTTAGGGTTTCGGTTAGGCCCTGACTCCTAAAAGCAAGTTCAGGTTAGGCAAACTGGAGCCGTTTAGGATTGTGATGGTCTGACAACCCCACATGGGCACAGTGGTCACAACGGGTCCACAAGTGGCAAACAACCATAGGACATGTGTATGTATTTGCGATGTACTCAGTCCCATGATCCTTTAAATGCACTCGGAGGATCATGAGACTTCGTACGTCGGGATACAAGTACCCTAATTAAGGGGTATAAGTAGATGTAAGTATTAGCTGCCTTGCTTATAGCCTACTTGCGAAGTCCCTCGAGCTTGTAAGTATATCCCTGCAATTTCGTCCTGTTTACTGGTATGAGAAATGGGGAAGCCCAATTTCCAGAGGGGTCGGCTTTGCAGTCAGCCATTAGGGTTTAGGGTTCAGGGATGTTTAGGGTTGAGAACCAATCCGAGTATTTCTTCTGATGATTTAAACAGTGCCGGAGATAACAACATTTTGTGTAGACTGTAGTAATAGGGGCCTTAATACTTGGAATAGGGTTTGGGGGTATGTTCTATGTATTTTAGGGCTAATAAATCAATTCTCAATCCGGGGGATCCTGAGGGTTCTGGGGCTCTCAAGGAAGTCATGTTAAAGGAAACTACAGGTGGGGAGTTTAGGGTATATAGGGCTTCTATAAGGCTTCCATAAGGTATATAGACCTTCTATAAGGCTCCTATTATCGGTAACTACCCAACTGAAAACGTCCTAGATCATGGCCCTGCATGGATCCCTGCCTGTGAGCCGCATCACCAGCTGGTCCTCTCTGGAGAACCAATGCAAGCCGGTTTTGGAACAAAGGGCTTCAGCGTTGCTCCCTAAACCCCTAAAACTCTAAACCCAAAACCCCTAAACCCCTTAACCCCTAAACCCTAAATCCCAAAACCCCTAAACACCTAATTCCCCTAAACCCCTAAACCCCAACCCCCAAACACCCAAACCCTAAACACCCAAACCCTAAACCAGGGCTCCGGGCCTTCGCTCTGTCACTTCCGGCTGTTCATTGCGAGGCTTCTACGAGGCCTGAAGGTTTAGGGTTTAGGGGTTTCGGCCTTAGGGGTTTAGGGCTTAGGGGTTTAGGGGTTTAGGGTTTAGGGCTGCGGCATAAGTTGGCTTCATTCGGCACAACACGATTCCGCAAAATGTTTTTCGGAACAGTTCCGAAAGCAATGGTCATGAGAGATCTAATGTAGGGGCCTTGACAATTAGAACGGGGTTCAGAGTTACAAGAAGACGATGAGTGTTGGGTAGAAGGTCGAAACGACTAACTATTCAAACTCCTGTACTATCAGATTTGAGACCGGGGGTTCAGGCAGCTCTCTGCACCATAAATGAACCCAATCATCTCAAACCGTACAACCACATAAGCTACATTACAGTAGAAGGATAAACTAAGCCCTAAACCCTAAACCGAACATAACCAGCATCCGCTAAACCCAACTCCTGTACCCTGCATTGGCCCAAGCCCCTAAACCCTGAAACCCTTAACTCGAAACCCTAGACCCCTAAACCCCCAGACCCTAAACCCCTAAACCCCTAAACCCCTAAACCCTCAACCCCTAGACCCTAAACCCTTAAACCCTAAACCCCTAAACCCTTAAACCCCTAAACCCTTAAACCCTAAACCCGAAACCCCAGACGAAAGCTCGCATAGTTATGGTCCTTCTTTGTCAGTAGCGGGGCCGTCTTGCCTAGGGCCCAGCCACCGTGCTTCTTGAGGATCATCGTCGGGTCGTCGTACATCCTAGGCTAGGCACGGCCCCAAACATTGGGATAACTAGGATGTAGCGGTTTTGGGTTTGGGGCTGTAGAGTTTAGGGTTCAGGGTTAGGGCTTAGGGCTTGGAGGGTTTAGGGTTTTAGAGTTTTGGGAATCAGGGGGTAAGGCTTAGAGTTTCGGGAGCGGCCTAGGGTTGCGAGGAGCCATCGGAGCGGCGTGGAAATTCCTGCCGTCATTCTCCCTACTAATATGCCAGAGTTGCACTGTTGCAGGAGCTGTTGGAAGGTATGGCCGTGTTCCCCAGAGCCCCCATTAACCCGTAAAAACAGGGGTGCCGTAATACCTAGTAGCTCTTCAGTCGTTATGGACCCTAAACCATAAGCCCGAATCAGTCTTTATATGGGGGTTTCCGAAAATAGGGGGACCCTAACATAGTACCCTAAATAGCAGGATCCTGATCATAAGAACCCCAAAATAAGGTACCCCTCATTGTCGGAAACTCCCCTTTTGTTTTTCTGGGGAGATACCCGGTCCAGATACCAAGTGTACTTCGCTACTACTGGGCGACGTCGTATGAGACCCTCTATAGACGTAAACCCTAAATCCTACACCCAAAATCCCAAACCCTAACATCCCTGGTTCTTCAAAGATTTTCATAGCGACCCTCTATCGAACACTCAAAGGCAACGTCGATCAGGGAACCCAGGTTGGGGTCCAGGGTTTAGGGTTCAAGGATTGAGGGCACTTCCTTTCCCTGCCAAGAACCCTAAACCCTAAACAGTAAACCCTAAGACCCTATTCCCTAAACGCTAAACCCTAAAACCCTAAATCCCTAAACCCTAAACCCCAAACCCTAAACCCTAAAACGCTGAGACCCTAAAACCCTAAACCCTCAAACCCTAAACCAATCCAAGTGAGCCAAGATTCCTGGCATGGTCGAAGCTGACATCCTTCGCGTCTGCCATGATGTCTTCGTCACCTGGGTTGGGTTTAGGGTTTAGGGTTTAGGGAAGTTCACTTCTTCTGGTGACTTTTATCAGGAAATGAAGCCAAACAACAAGAGCCAAGTCGCCATCCACAAGGACATCGTTGACCGGCAAGTTGTACATACCTGCCGGGAAAGCATGCAAATGGGTAGTTCTCTAAACTGCTCCTTTTAGGGTCTTTTTCACAAGGGTGCCGTACTATATTGGGGACCTAAACAGGGACCCTAATTTAGAGAACTACTCAACTACTCAAATGGCTTAGAGTTCTTTGGAAGGAGAGAGCTGTTCTGAAAGCCAGCGTGGCGAACATAACCCTACTAGCATGACATTTTCCGAGACGAACATGCACAAGAGCATGCGTTCTGCTTGGTGGTGTAAGCAACAACTCAGTTCATGTCCATGCTAAGACTTTCGACTAGCGCTCCGGTTTAGGGTTTAGTTGTTTAAGTCTTACGGTCTTTCTCTGGCTGGGCATGCTGAGTGCAGCATGAAAGTCCGCAGTCTTGCGAAGCAACACGGCTGTGTGCCCTGCAAGCCCCAATCCGGTTTCTGAACCCATGGTTTAGGGTTTGGGGTTTAGGGTTTAGGGAACTGGGGTGTGGGGCTTCAGGATATTAGGCTCTCAGAATTGACAGTCAGGACGGGCATTGGGGGCAAGGCAAAAAACTAACATCCGTCACATCGGGCAAGGGACGCTCATCGTAGCTGTGTAGCATGTAGCGCCGACACATGCTTATTGCATCCAGGCAAGTCAAACAGCAAGAAGAGGGGGCAGGGTTTGTACCAAATGCAGCAACAATGTCAGGGACTCTCTGGTTCCCTGTTGGGGCTATATTCAAAAAATGCTCATTTTCAATCCTTAGATGGGTTTTATTATAACAACGGTTCAATCCTTATTATTGGGCTTTATTGTAACAACTGCAAAATTGTAGCCAACAGGCACCCAGCTAAATAGGGAGCATAGCAAATCAGAACCCATCTCGGGAGCTCAGAGCAGTCCCTGAGGCCCAAGCAAAGCAGAACCAGAGCTTAGAGTTGGGGTTCCTTTAAGGGTTGGTTCCTTTAGGGGTTTTCGGCCTTAGGGTTTAGGGTCTTTCGGGTTCCCAGAGCTGTAGAGGCAGAGGTCCAAATTGTCAGAGCTTAGAGGTTAGAGAAGGTACAGTCTTCCCGGGTTTCGGGTTCAAAAGGGATCAGGGTTTGGGGTGTGGGGTTCAGGAAGTATTTAGGGTTTTGGATTTGGGGTTCAAGGGTTTTACAGTAGAAGCCTAAAAGTTGGAAACTCAATCGCCTCAATCCGCAAAGAGTAATGTATAGGGAATCCCAGCACCATTTGTCCTTAATCCCGTTTCCAACTTTTTGGGGTTACTAGCCCCAGACCCTAAATCCTAAACCCTAGGCCCCAAACCTTAAAACTCTAAACCCTAAACCCTAGAACCCTAAACCCTACACCCTAAACACCTAGCCAAGGAACGCATAGCGTCGATCATCTCGTCGTACTGGCCCTCGAAGAATCGGTCTTGCACCAGGAAAGCCTTTCGAGAAAACCCCCCCAACAACCTTTTAAGGGTTCCTTTGAGGGATCTATAAGGGTTCCATTCAGTGTTCCTATGGGTTCCTTTTCGGATTCTTTTACGGGTTCCTTTTTTGGGATCTTGAACAGGCTTAGCTACGGAACGTTCGTTAGAACACGCGTACTTCACCAGGGAGTCTGCACGGAGGGCCGCCCCGCAGCCCCAACCCGGAGCTTGCAACCAAATCTTTTAGCTTTGGCATGAGAGCTAAGGGCTTAGGAGTTTAGGGCTTAAGGTTGAGGGTTTAGGAGTTAGCAGTCTAGGGCTCTAGGGTTTGGGGTTTAGGGTTTAGGGCTGAGGGCTCAGGAAGAGGAGGCATTACTAAACCCTAATGAACCTTAAACCCCTAAACCCCTAAACCCTCTACACGATGTCAGCTAATGGCGGCCTGCGCCCTTTCCCCGAAGATTTAGACCTCAAGCCCCCGACCCGAGTCCCTAAAGGAGAAAGCTTCCCAAGATCCTCAAATCCTAAACCTCAACCCCAAACACCTGAACTCCAAACCCTCAGCCTTAACCACCTGAACCCACAACCCCGGAAGAAAACCTCAACCCCAACCTACGCCCGAAATCCTTGAGCTTTCAGCCCGCAGCTCTCCATCCGAAGTCCATGTGGGATGAAACCACCGGCCCTGTATTTGGGGTTTAGGGTTTTAGCGCTCACGGTTCAGAGCCAGGGTTTGAGTGTTTAGGGTCTGAGGGTTTTTACCACCCCTCTTGAAAAGGACCTCAACTCCCACTCTAACCCACAACCCTCAACCCCAAACCCCCTGAAAACCCTAAACCCTTTTTCAGTGTCCCCTGACCGGCGGTCCTGGACGTAAGGCCCAAGGAGGAAGGTCCGGGGAATCTCGCCATAGCCCGACCTAATGGGAGAGGAAGGAGCCCTTGTTCAGTACGATTTAGGGTTTAGGGAAACCTGTCGTGCACACCCACACACACAGATCATAACTAGTCATAACCTTACCTAAACCGCCCTCGCAGAACTTAGCGCTCAAAAACGGAGTGACTACAGCTGACCTGCGGCTGCAGACCTGGTCTCGAGGAGCCAGGATTCCTAAAAGACGAAGGCAACCGACAGTTTCTTGGGCAATGGCTGCTGAATGCATGAAGGTTTTGAAAGGAGCGGCACATGCATGTACATGCAGCAAGCATCACCTACCTGTCTGTGTATACGTATAAATACACATACATGTGCATATATATATACACACATACTTTCATACATGCGTACACACATATATTCAAGCACGAAATAGTTACCAAACAGTAGGTGTCTGTTGTGCATTTGAGCCTTCGACATGTATCTATACTTGCTTGTACAATCTGCACCTGTGCATGTGTGTGAGCATGCGTCTCCTTTCTATACATACATACACATACAGTATACAGTCAGACACACACGAGCGCATAATTTGTGAATGTGCGTGCCTTGTAAAGTTTAATTGGTAGGTCCCAAGGGAGCCAAGCCGCCACTGGTCGTCCATGGTCTCTGTGATGTAGTTGAGCAGCACGTCGTGGTTAAACCTCCGCTATTACTGATCTCGAGTAAACTGCCCTTCTAGTGAAAAGCTAGAGCAATTAAGCCCCAAAGCGGGTTGAAATTCAATGTTGACTTTTGCCACATCCGTGCTCACACAGAACAACAAAACATCGAGACGTCCCATTCTTGTGCTCTTGCATGATTACAGCTTCTTCTGAAGAGATGGTTCTCTGCCGTCAAAAATTGACTGAATTTCTTGTCGTGCAAGATTCAAGCGAAAGCCAACAACAACAGGGGGCTTTCAAAATCAAGCTCCTGAAGACTCGAGCCCTCAGGAGCTTCGCTGACGCTCTGAAGCTCCTGAGGGCTGGAACTTCAGAGTTTCAGAAGGAATTCATGAACCACGCCTGGCATGCAATCAAAAAATCACAAAAAGGACTACGTACTGCCCCATGTGAGCTTGAAGACAACAGAACACACGCACCAAAACAAAAAAGCAGGCACAAACCAACGCACACACACACACATGCACTGAAGTTTGAACCTACCAACCTGGTTTAGGGTCTGCCCCTGACAATCTCAAGTTGCAGAGTCTCCTTTTGAGGGTTTAAATTGAGGTCACTCAACTGGGTGCTTGTTGAAGCACTCCGTGAACGCATTCCAGTGCAGGCTCCGGAGTCAAACACCTCAGCCCTAAACTCAACCCTACCTAATCTGTTGAGCACTAGGTTTGGAGTAGGGTTTAGAGTTTAGGGTGTAAGTGCTGCAACCCCAAATACCTAAAACCCTTGCCTTGAATCTTCGACGACCCGACAAGGGGCTGTAGCTGAAATTTTCGTCGCATGTACTCCTCGAAGAAGCCCGCGAAGGAAGTTTCCTGCTGGCACGTGCCATAGCCTACCCAAAGACTCCAATGCCACTCGATTCGATTCGTCGATTAGCCCATTTTGGGGACGGCGGCGGCCGAACCCAGGTACTATTGCCGAGTTTGCGGTCTCAGCACCCAGTTTGTGCCAAAAGGCCTTGTTGGAGGGGTGGCCACATCATGCAGGGGGCACTTTTTTTTGCGAAAGGCCTAGGGTTTGGGTAGCAGACCCTAAACCCTAAACCCTGAAGGGCGGAATGGGAACCCTATCCTTCAGGGTATCTAGGAATTTTGGCTGCTTGTTCCCGCCCAAGACCCTGAGCACGAAGCCCCGAACCACGAAATTCCTAAACGCGAAACACAAGAGTCCTAAAGAAAGGATATCAGCAAGTGGTTCTGCCAAGTGGTGGATGTCTCCGAACGCATGTGGACGTTTAGACTATTCGGGATCCATTTTCAGAATTCGGGTCTACAGGTGTAGCCTGTATAGGGCCTGAGGGGTACGAGGGGCTTCAGAAATTAACAGGTCCAAACTTGGATCCGCAATTCAGAATTCAGGGTCTGCATTAGCGCCCCCAGTCTTCTGAAACTCCCATGTAATCCTTAAACTCTGAACCCTAAACGAGTCCGGTTTGATAGCCGAACGGGTCTGCCCTAACCCGCAAACCGAAAGCACCTCGACGATGTTTCTTGGAGGCCGCTGTCGCACTTCCGGGCAGAAGTCCCACTGGGGTTTAGGGTTTATAGGGTAGAAGTCGGAAGCTCCAGTAGGGGCAAGCAGCCAATCATGTTCAGGGCACCGCATTCCGGAAACCCAGCAATCAAATCCGGATCCACAAACATCTGGAGCCTGAACTAAGCCCGAGACCCGAAACGCCACACGGTGAACTCTGTAAGCCCCGAAAGGCCCGAGGCTTTTGTCTCTTGCACCCACTCGCCTGCGACGTGTCGACGACATTGGAGCTGGTCGTGTGCTCGCGCAGCACGGTTTCAACCCTTGGGGATGTGGCTTAAGATGCAGGCTTCGGGGGGCTTGAGTTTTGGATGGAAGTTGGCTTAGAACAGCCAAGGCAGGGGCATCTACTTGTGCTCTACTTCCTCATTATGGGACATTTCGTGTTCAACAGGTACACACAGGCCGGCGTCCCCCAACAAACTAACGTAGAATCCCAAACAACATCCTAAGGACAGTGATTTTTGACATGCTTTTCTGTTATATTTTCCATGATGCGATGCCGATCCAGTGCTTTTTGACGAAAACTAAACAGCTCATCGTCTGCAACCCTAAGCTCTGCAACCCTAAGCCCTCAAGACATCCTGCAACGTATTATACCTATACAATCATGTCAAAAGCTCGTAGGATCCCCTGGCTTTGGCACGAAAAGATACGTCTAATGGAACCAATAACAGTAACCCTGAACCTCAACCCTCAATGCAAGCCCCTGAACCCTAAACCCTGAGTGCCCCAATCCCGCTTATAACTGTTGGCCGACGTGTCTCCTCCTCTCATCCCTAAACTCGGTGGGGCCTTCGGGCGGGCCTGAAACTTCAGGATGGATGGCTGCTGCTAGGTAGTTCTTTAAAACTAGTGTCCTTTTTGGGATCCTTTTATCAGGGTGCCGTACTACTTTGGCGCTAAACAGGGACCCTCATTTACAGAACTACCCTTCTAGGTTTTCCGTGCTCAAGAATGAGGATTTAACGAGAGCAACCACATTCCTCGCATACCCATGCGCAACAGTTTCAAATGCCCCGATTCTCGAGTCATAACGCTGTTGAGGTCCTTCCAACATTGTTGATTTCGTGCATCAGTGTCAGATGCAGGGTTGTGCACACGCCACGTGAGAACCACTTTTTTGTGGTAGTGTAACTAGCTTTGCATCGAATACTTGGATTTAATTAGTAAGGTTTCTTGTTCCCAAATGACGGAATTCATTTCAGCTTGTATATGTGTTTGCTGCATGCTCTCAAGTTTTTGCTAGACAGCCGCGAGACGAGTAAGAGTGCTTTACAAATTTCTTAGTGCTAGCTCGCATTCGCAATAACGTCTCCAGACTGCGGCCCAAGAGCAGCACCGGCAGTCTTGGCAGTGGCATCAATCACAGGAGGGTTAGAAGCACCGATCGGTGCAATTGTCGTGGCAAAAAACAATTCTGGAAGAAGCGCCACCACCAGCAGTAGCACCAGTAGTAGTGGTAATAGTAGTCGTCGTCGTCGTCGTCGCGGTGGTGGTGGTGGTGGCGGTGGTTGTGGTGGTGGTGGTGGTGGTGGTGATAGTGGTGGTAGTGGTGGTAGTGGCGGTGGTGGTGGTGGTGGTGGTGGTGGCGGTGGTGGTGATGGTGGTGGGGCGGTGTTTGGTGGTGGCGGTGGCAGTAGTAGTAGTAGTAGTAGTAGTCGTAGTGGGAGTCGTGGTGGAGGTCGTAGCGGGTTGTGATTAGTAGCAGAAGCAGTAGCGGTAGCAGGAGCAGCATTAGCAGCAGCAGTAGCCGCAGCTGTACTGGTAAATGTAAATGTACGCATACGTGTCTGTGCGTACTCGTACTCGTTCTTGCAATCGTGCGCGTAGCATGGCAACCTCTGTTTCCTGAAGGTGCTAGTAGGTGTGGTCGTGACCTACATACACGGTATCTTTTGCTCGCAACATGAAGCATCTGTAGATAGCAACATAGCCAGACAGTGCTTGTGCCGCAAAACAGCCGAAAACAGCAGCAGTGTACTCTGCCGCCCGATTTGCACACCTCGATCAACGGTCATTGCACCTTGCATCCCTCACAACACTGACAGTTTCGTCCATTGTACGTGGTTCGAGCTTCTCGTGCAAGACTGCCACGACCGACCTGGTGGTTCGACACAAGTACCAGTCAGATTAACTTCCGTCGTACCGGAGGCGAATATTTCAAAGGGCGCAAATCCAGTCTTTTGCTGTAATCCTGAGACCTTACACGAGGTGCGGACGTAGAATTTCCGGATGCTGATAGGATGGAGACGACTCTGAGACTCTGTGCAGTGATCGTTTGAAACCCCAAACCCTAAACCGTCTTCAAACTCAGTGCGCAGGGCCCTCGACCTAATCCCCTCCGACTACCGAAAACCCAACTGTGCTTCGTAGGTTTCCGTTCTGTAGGGTCTGGGGTTTTAGAGTTTAGGGTGTATAGGGTCTATGGGGTTTGGGGCTAAACCCGACCTAAACCAACCTTTACGGGAATAGTCAGGCTGAAAACCCGATGCTGTCCCAAATGCCTGCGTGCCGAGGCCCCGACAGCTGCGTATCCTCGTCGTGCTCACAAATCCTTCGTTGCTGAACGACCCCTACACCCAAGCCTAAAGCAGGAATTGCTTGCAACAGCCGACAACCGTAGCAGTAAAAACGCCGCGGCCCTAAGCCTTAAACCCTAAACCCCTAGAGTCCTAGAGCCTAAACCCTAAGCCTTCAGCCCTAAACCCTAACCAGGACGATTTACTCGCGGGGTCGGTCGGAGAATGTCTCACCAGCTTTGGGCTTCGGGGTTTTGGTTTTCGGGTTTATGTACAGAAATGCAAAATCTGCCGCTAAAAATAAAAATGTGGCAGCCACTGTTCTGTTGAATACCGGATGACTAACCCCCATAAGCAGGAAGCTTGGAACTCCAAGCGCGAAATAAATCTCAAATGCTAAACCCCCTTAAGCCCTAACAACGCTGCTTCCGAAGCCCGCTAGCCTGGACCCCTAAACACCGAACCCAAACCCCAAGACCCCTCCCGCAGCCTGTTCTGCGTTGTTTAACTTGGTATGCATGGCTCTCCTGTGGGCCTGAAGATCTGCCATAAACCCCATGTCAGGATCTTCCAGCTCCTTCATCCCTTCGGTTGACAGCAGTGTGTTCCGGGGGGTTTACACACTCAATGTGCCCTTGCCCCCGTGTGCGAAAGCCCTTCAGAACATCTGTTGTGCGCGTCTGGATCGCAAAGACGTCCGTCCCGAGATCGTTGAAATGCCAGCGCTTCATCAACTTCAAGGTCCTCCACGGATCATGCACCGCCCATGTTGGCTCTGAGCGCATTATTTACGAAATTTACGGCATGCTTCACAGCATCAAGGTCGAGCTCCGCGACCATGACAAGTTCCGAAAGTTCGTCTGGAGATCTCGAAGACTTTCCACGACGTACCTCGCCCATGGATTTCGGGACGAGCGTTTCGTGACCGTGCTGGACATCGAAATTATTATACGCTCCGAGACACAGCGCCCTCATTACGGGGATGCCGCGTGCGTCTTTCGCGCAGGCCCATCAAGCCAAACCCCGGTTCCAAAACCCCTCGTTTAGGGTGTTTCAAGGATTATAGGCCGTTCCTCTCCTTTACGGTTTATAGGGTTCAGGATTTAGGATTCCAGGATTCAGGTTTAGCGTGCAACCCCGAACCAAAGTCAAAAAAACTACTGGTATTCAACCAACCTTACGGTAGACTTAGAAAATAGGGTTGGAAGTACCTTGACTAGGGTCACAAGCAAAATTTAACTGTATGAATGCCTACTTAAAACCCAATTAGCTAAGTCCAGCTGAGTCCTCATAGAGCCCAATATAAAACCCTTTTCGACTCCCAAACTCAAGGCATAGGCCGCCCACCTACTATAAGGTTCGGGGTTTAGGGTTTGGGAATAAGGTATTTTCTGTTTTTGAGCTCCTTGTCTATGAGGCCCAGACGTCACCCGAGGCTAGGAATAAGGTTTAGGGTTTAGGAATAAGGCTTAGGCACCGGCTTTAGGGCCTAGGAATAGTGTTAACGTTTAGGGGGCTAGACTAGTTACGGCATTGTAACACCACGAAAGTATTGATCTAGCAGGTTTAGTATGAAGGCTGAGCCCAACTACAACAATACAGTACAACACCTAAAAACAAATACAGCGAATCTCAATCTCCATGAATTTCAGTAAGGATCCTTGATAAGGGGCAGTTAATTAACGGATACTGGGTTTAGGGTTTAGGGGAGTCTCCGGGAAAGAAGACTTGAAGAAGACACTGAAAGAAGGAACATTTAAATTTTACTGTAATGGACCACCCCAAAACTCTATTCCATTTCCTACGGCCCGTAAAGCCCTAAACACCAGATGCCCTAAACGAAACCTAGTTCCGAGCCATCAAAGCTGGCTGCAACTTTTCAGAGCCCTGTAGAACTACCCTTCGCCCTCAAAAACCCCGGAACCCGAAACACCACTAAAGCCCTAAACCTTGAACCCTAAACACCAAACCCCGAAAAGCCCGAAACCTTTGCAAAAATCGAGGCTGTCACGCTCGTATGTGGGAATGAAGCAGATCCTGACAGCCGAGAGTCATCTGTATTCATTGGGTTTATGTACCCATAGGCCCCTAAGTAGTTCCTGTTTATGGTTTATATTTAGAACCCTATAAGGTAATCCCAAAAAGGAACTACTTAGGGGCCTATGGGTAGGGTGTAGAACCCGTTCAGGGCTTAGAAGGTTTAAGGCTTCGGGATGAGGGGTTTAGGGTTTGGGGTTTAGGGTTGGGTTCAGGGTTTAGGGTTTAGGGTTTAGGGCTCCGTATAAGAGCTTCTTTGGGCTTGATTGCTTAGGAGTTTGAGTAGGAGCCTAGGGGGGTTAGTGTATTTGTAAAGGGACTATAGGCGGGCACTGTTGCTTATTGTTTCGATGACTGTATAAACCCCGCTTTAAGGGTTTAGGGGCTAGCTGTTCGGGCTCGGGGCTTACGGTAGAACACTAGTCCTAGGGCCTATAAGGTTTAGGCTCAGGCTTCGGAGGATTCAATCAACCCGCGTTTTTCGCCATCGACGACAACACTACTCCACTGTCGACATGGCCCGGTTTGCCTCCTCCACGAACGCCTCCGCGAATTGTTCTAGTAGACTGCCAGCACGACCCGCAGTAGTAGCGAAGATCTGCTGAAGAGGGGTTATACGGGTCCATCATAGCCAGCGGTGCTGTAGGCAATCCTGGAGCCTGGCACTCAGCACATTGGCAGCGGAGTGGCGGGAGGCGCACTAGCTGCTTGGCTGGGGGCGGTGGATGGTTGCCTTGCACGGCACCGAAACTTTTCCAACATCGCCCGCAGTAGTACTGCCCTTCACCCACCCCAATCAGCCGCGGGTCCAGTCGATAGACTGTTACAGGTTCCCCTGTCTTCGAACGCCTGCCTGGCTGCTCCTGCTGCTTCTTGCTACTCTTGTTGATCAACGAATGGAATGCTGCCACCGTCAAAAGGCACAAGTTGCGATTGATGTCGCACTGGGAGGCGGCCGGAGGTCAAGGCGCCGAGGTGTGGGAAGGGGGGTTTCGGATGTTGAAGTTAGGATGTAGGGTTTAGGATTCGGGTCAGGGGTTTTACGACCAGATCAGAAACCTCTACGCTCAAAAAATGCGGATCCCTGGCATAAGACTTAATCAAGGCTACTTCCTTCATGGGTCTTGCAATGTATTGGAACACCAGGGCTGTGTATTGGTATTTAGATTCTATAGGGGTTAGCATGCTTGCACGAATATTTGGAGATGTAGCCACTTTTAGGTTTTAGGCGGTCTTACAACCAGGATCCGCCAGTTAACTTGGGATCTATATTATACTCAAGTATCCCTCCTTTCCGAAACTCATGTTCCCTAAGCCCCTAAACCGTAAAATCTAACACCAAGTGGCTGAAGGGGGCTGCACGCAAAGAATGGCCACGGCCTGTCTTGGCTTAAGGTTTGGGGTTTGGGGCTCCAGACATGCCGTTTTTCAGGAATGTTCTGAAACCACGAGTGCTCGAATTGTCATCGTACATTGTTGCTTTTTGTGATGCTAACTTCCGGTGTGGACCTTGCTCTAGGCCCTTCTGGGGTTCACAGCTCGAGGCAGTTCAATTCTTTGAAGCGTGAAAGCCTGGGGAAGATATCTTGTCGTCCTCCCACCCTACGCTTTCTCGGCACAGTGGGTGGTGGACTGCGTTGCTCTTCCTGTTGTGCCTTGGTGGCATCAGCAACGGAAGCAGCTGATGACTATTCTCGTTAAGCACTCTCTGCATTGCCACTGAAGGCATGTACGCAACTTCACCGCCTGCCCAAAGTATAGCCCCCTGAAACCTTTCATGGACATGAAACCCTTGATAGCAGGTCGGAGTGATATGTTGACGAAAGTCAATTACACTGCTGAGGGAGGGTGTATTGGGAGGGCCCGTTAAATCAGCACCCGAAAAGGAGCCCTGGAACGACTGTTCCATGTACCCATAGGCCCGTAAGTAGTTCCTTTTTGGGATTACCTTAACCTTTAGGATTCTAAAGAAAAAACCATATAAAGGAACTACATAGGAGCCTATGGGTAGTTGCACAAGAAGCAATGCCCGGCTGCAGACACCTAGTAGCGGCCGTAGGTATAAATCTCACTCTGGGGTAGTATACTAGATAGGATACCTAGATCCTGAAGCTTTCAAATAACGAATAGTATAGGGACCTCAACAATTAGACCAAGGTTTTGGAGTACATTTCGGTATTTAGTAGTTTTACTCATTATGCCGACTGCTATGGTATGCAGGAACCCCTTCAAGGTATCGGAAGCTTTCTCGCGCTCCTGGTAATATTCGATTCTTCGGGCTGTAGCTATTTGATGCACTGCTGAGCATCTGTAGAATTTAGGGTCTAGTGTAGGCAGAAGTTAAGGGTCCAACAGTTATCTCTACTGTTCTTAAGAGGTAAACAAGCACATATCCGTTGGAGATCCTCTTAAAAGAACGAACCAGACTAGGAACAAAAACAAATCCACAGAGTACCCCGGAGCCTAAAGGTCCTGTCGAACATGAGGTGCTGTGCTTTGCTGAGAAGTCGGGCTCATGCTTTCGGGGGGACGGGGTTAAGTTTAAGGCTAAGGCGTCGCTTGGGGTGTTTTGGGTCCAAATGTTCCCAACCTAGAACCCTGAATGAAGCAAGTTTTTCGGCGTGTCGAAGTGCCGTGGCGCTGTATCCTTCAAGTTTCAGCCGCTCAAAGCTAGATCCAACGCCTTTATGACCGGACGGGATGCTTTAAAACATGGCAGAACCAAATGCAAGGCTGAACAACTAAACCCTGATCCACAGCTAGCTACTCAGTTCCCGCAGGGTTTGAAGGTGAACCTTGGGGCGTAACAAGACTTTTAATACCCCAGCAAGTTACAACAATGGCGACTGAACCCCTCAAACAACAAGAAGGGCCGTAGCTCTAGACCTAATTTGTGGTTCTGGTCCAAGCGCGGCGTGATGGGCGAGATAAACTTCCCACAGCTGCAGCGGGCAAACGTTGGTCCTCGAGAAAGACGGTGCATTTCCCAAGGGTCGAGTAGTCATGACTACGCACTTACATGACAAGCATTTTCTCTGTGGTGTTCGCTGATATCTGCTGGTTCTGCTGCTACTGCTACTTAGTAAACACCGCCACCGAAACCAGCACCAGCGCCAGCACCGGCAAAACGACCACAACAACGAGAAGTGACCAAGGCCGCCACCACGACGAAGACCTCCTCCTACTACTACTACTACCACCACCACCACCACCGCCGCCGCCGCCGCCACCACCACCACCACCACCACCACCAGGGAGGAGGCCGATTGCGTCAATCGATGAAGTTAGTCTGTCAGGCGTTTACATGAAACTCTTCCTTTATTGCTCATGTCTCTAGGTTCTGCTGTTTGCTATTAGTGGTGCAAATATGACTGTGTACCAACTATCAACCCCTAGGATGTGCTCATACTTTTTTCGACCGTCCAAGACATCCGACAGTGAAGCGAACTGATTGATGGCCCACATAATGCCCGGATCTCTAGTGCAATCGAGGATGCTAAAGATTGTGCCTTCTGTGGACCCTCGAAATACCCTGAAACTCCCTCATAAAATCCTGCCATGAACCCCCGCAGCTTCAGTCTTCAATGCTCTATGGCCCTGGAAGACAAAACTACCATCTTTTGGAGATCCATTCTCAGACAAACCATAAACCAAAAAATGCACCAACAGACAAACATGCTCAAGAGCCTTAAAGTAACACCCGTCGAAACTCCTTAAAAAACCCTGCAAACCCTCTTACAAACCCTCAACCTACATTCCGAAAATACGGACCCCAATTAAGACAGAGTTTGCCTCATTCTGCTGTTACTATATTAGTTACGATGTGTACCCCAAAACATCCCAACCACCCGTTCTACTTGTTCAGGCGGCTCCACCAAATCAATCCCCTTCGGAACCCTGCAAACTGCGAAGCGAGAGTCTGGGAAGGCATGCGAACTGTTTCGCCATCCTCCGTGGTCAGCGGCTCAGGGTTGGGAGGATTCTTGCGAGTCTACCCGTCAGGGTATGATAGGGGTTGCTGTAAGGGTTACTGAGTTACTATATTGAGGGATGATGGAAGGCTTTACACATTTTTTTGCATTTTTGCTGAAGCTTTTTTGGTGCACTGCAATTTTCACGGGAGAACCCACGCGGTTTCTAAATTCATCTCGCACACTTTGACACTGCTCGGAGCTATCTTTTACAACTTAGACTTGATTTGACACTTTTTGCAAAACACCCTGTATACACATCTCGCGCGCTATCCAAACAACAAGGACTACACTGGTAGCGTCGGGCTTCCACAAGCATACATCAGAGGAGGCACCGACCTTCCAATTTCGAGAGGACAGTCTAAATAGAGTGGCTCCGCATTGTTGCATGTCCGAAACACGGAAACCTAAACACCGAACCGCAAAGCTGCTTGACCCAAAATCCAAACAGGAACATGGATTTAGTGTCCGGTATTACAATATGGTCATCGTTAACGTATGCTAAGCCACAAAGAATAGCAATTATTAAACTATCCAAACCCTGAAACCCTCGACGCATGATCTCCGACCTTCTCCAGGCTGTGCATCTTCGTGTCCAATTTCGGAAGCTTCGTCGGGTCCACCTCGCCACCATGGGAGCAGATGAATAATACCTCCTCGTAGGACTTAGTCCAAGCCTATCCCAAACTATGTACTATTTATTCCACAAATCAAACCATAAAACGTATGTTACGACCATAACAACGGCTACCACAGGATATTACTACTATATTCCGTCTACCATATAAAAGTATGGGGATTTGGGCAATTCAGGCTGTCAGGGTCAGCACTTTGGTTATTTTCCCGTCCAAGCATCTCTTGCACACATCTCTCAGCAACCTGCCTGCCGTCTGTTCACGGAGTCAGGTTTCACGTGTAAAGGTTTAGAATTAGGTTTTAAATGTTACCCGTTAAACTCACAACGGCAAACAACCGCTCGCGAGCCCACCTTTTGTGTTTGGATAATGTACCTGGCGAGAAGCAGATGACAGGGAGATTAAAACCAAGAACACAGGATTGACCGTTTGGGCTTTACGGGCGCAGATCTGAGATTTCGGGGTTCGCGATTTCTTTCAATGTTTCGGGGTGGAAGCATTTAACGTGTCTGGCAGTTCGGCTTGATAAAGTGCAGGGTTAGTGGTCTAGGGATGTCTTGGGCGTACATAGGGTATTAGATCTGTGGGCTTCGTGATTCCAAGACGCTGCTGGGATTGCTGGAGCTGGAGCTCTTGGGGCTCGCTCTGGCTCGAGGCAGTACGGACTCGGGTTGGCTGCGTTCGGTCTAGATGCTGCGCATTTTCGAATTGAAGGAACGACGGCTTGAGGGTGGTTATTGTGACATCAGGATTTTTGGGCCAACCATTAAACCATTAGGACGCCGTGTAAACTGTCTGCCTAAGCATGCCGCTTCAGACTGTCGGTCATAGATATGTGCGTTTAACATCGGGTAGCGTGTCTGCCTAAGCAAACCGACTCACAAGTGTAAACCGGCAACTGGAGTTTCCCCTTCGACGGACGGCACACTCAAGCTTGTGTTTGAGTGCAAAGTATTGTTTCGAGCAGCAGAAAAGTGTCGGGCTTCGAGGCTGCGGGGTAAGGCTGAAATATAATTAGGCTTCAGGCATGGCTTACCTCCAAGGATCTCCAGGGTAGCCTAGGCCAATCAAGCTGAACGTCATATCTGAAAGCCGTCAGCCTTGTAGGCCTCCACTCCATTGTTGCACTGGTCTGTCACGACTGCCGAAATCTCTGAAACAGAAACTTAAACCCAGGGTGGTAGCGACTCGGGATTAATGCCCTCCGACCGAACTAGATTTTGTCTCCTGCTGGCGCTAACGACTGTACATGCTGAGCGCTTTCAACCTGCACTGTAGCGTCCACTTTTCCCGGATGCTGCGGCGGACTAGCGTGCCTGGGTGTAGCATTTGGTGAGGTATACCAGGTAGCGCTGGTTGTGGTAGCGGCGCTAGCGGCGCTTCGCCCTCTTGCACTGGTCGCAGTAATGCGTCCAGTGTGTATCTAGCAACCACCACGTCCTGCGATTGCAGGCCTTAGCTCCACACCGTGGACACACCACAATGCAGCGGAAAATCCCTGTGTAGCCATCCCACCTTCCGTAGCCGAGAGTGTTGAACTGGCACTCGACGTAGCGGTTGTGACCGACCAAGTGTAGCAGCTCCTCGGCGCGTCGGTCTCGCAGCGGAGGTGGGTTTAGCATGCAGACCAAGCGGCGGTCTGCATCAGTTAGCCCACAGAGGTCGCTCTCTCGTATGATGTTAGCCAACTCGATCTCATGCTGAGCATTCTTGCCGAAGCCTTTAGCGAGCGGCTCCTGGCCTTGCGGATGGCTCCCTAGCGGCCACATCTGTG